CCCAGGGTCCCCCCAAGGACCCGTCACCCTCCTGACCAGTGCCCCCCAAGACCCTCACCCTCTTGACCAGGGTCCCCCAAGACCCTCACCCTCCTGACCAGGCCCCCCTCAGGACCCTCACATCCTTACCAGGGCCCCCCAAGACCCTCACCCTCCTGACCAGTGCCTCCCAAGACCCTCACCCTCCTGACCAGTGCCCCGCAAGGCCCTTACTGTGGGTGAGGGCTTCTCCAAAGGGATTCAGTGCTGAGTGAGTCAGCCCCTGCTCTAGGAAGCCAACAGTCTAGTAGGAGGAATCAAGATCAAACTTTAATGTAAAACAGAGCTTGTTATGTGCAAGGAGGGCCTGGTAGGAAGTGGGGGAGAGCTTATCTGGTTCAGGGAACCAGAAGGAGCCTGTGTATACATCTCATTTGATAACTGAGGAGCAAGGGAGACCTTCACTTGATGGGGGAGGGGGGAGGGGCTGCACACCTCAAACTTTAGACGCAAAAGGATTTTTGCATGCAGCCTACCTCCGCCCATCCCCCCACTCTCCGCAAGCATCATTGAAGGCCTCCTGGCATTGTGTTAGGTGCCGGGGATGCAAATGCAAAAAGGCCTGGTCCTTCTCTCAGAAGGCAGTGGTATCAACAGATGAGTAAAGCAACTGTGTTACGGAAGAAATCTCCGCAGAGAGCACCGGGGGCCGGGGGAGGCTGGGTAGTGATCATCCTGCAGCATGGGGCATCATGAAAGAGCTGATGAGAGTGTTTGCAGACTGAGGGAGCGGTGGTGCAGGGGGTGCAGCAGGGCTGCATTTGGGGAAGGGCAGGCGATGTGATGTGGCTGCAGCCACCTTAGGGCTGTGGGTGGAGACGTGGACAGGGTCAGGGTGGGGAGGGTGGGTCAGGCATCCCAAGGGTGGGGACCACTGAAGGGGAGGGGAGAAGCGTGTCTGGAGCGAGGCTTGGAAGAACACCCCCAGAAGCTGTGGACCAGAGTGGGGAAAAGGCAAGAAGGAGCAGTGGGAATGGCATGTGTGTGGGAAGAGGGTCCAAATTATAAGGGGCAGGAGTGAGGATGGAGGAGGTGGTCATGCAGCGAGGAGTCCTGGGAGGGAGGACCCACAGGAAGGGGTGACTGGCTTAAGGAAGAAGGATGAGGTGAGAGAAATTCAGGGGACCTCCCCCCACTGGGCTATAATCTGGGAAACCTGGGAGAATGGTTCAGCCACTGGCTGGGAAAAGGAGGAGGAGAGCATCTGGGGGACACAGAGACCAGTTCTGTTCTGGACAAGCTGGATTCGAGTACCCCATGGGAGATCAGGGTGAAGGGCATGGTTTGAAATAGGGATTGGGGCTTATTGGCATCGCGCTGGGAGCTGCAGCTGTTGGAGTGGCTGGCCTTGTCCAGGTGGGGCACTTCGGGGGAGCAGAGAAGCTGGCCACAGACGGCCCACTGGAACACCAGTCCCGGCGGGGGAGTGTCAGGGGGCAGAGGATGGGGATGTGGGAGCTGACAGAAAGGCAAGACAGAGACTGGGAAGAAGTCGCCTCTAAGGAAAGAGGTGAGAGGTGCAGGAAGGGGGTGGTTAACAATGCCAGATGCTGCAGGGTCCCTGAAGGAATCGCTTTAGGGGTTGTGGGGGTGGGAGCCAGGTAGGGGCTGGCTGAAATGAGACCAGGAAGTGAAGAAGTAGAAACAACATTGCGGAAGATCTTGGCTGAAGGATAGAAGAGAGAAGAGACTCACTAGGTGGAATCGGGGTCAAGGAGGATTCTGTAGAGGGAAAGGGTTCATCAAGGGTTACAAGCGTGGGGTTTCAGCCCAGGCAAGCCTGGACCAGGACCGCCGCTCTGCCGCAATCACAGAGCTGACAGGCAGCATCAGAACCTCTCTGAGCCTGCTCGTCCTGCAAAAGGAGACGAAAGGCAGGGGCTTGGCCACCACGAGAGCTCTGTGCCTGGCAGCAAAGGCATACAGAAAGGGAGTGGGTGGCGAGGGCAAGGCCCTGGGCTGTGCTGTAGGGGGTGAGAGATGGCTCTAGGAGGCCCAAGAGCAAGGAGGCTGGAGACATCGCCAGAGTCACACAGGAAGTCACTGGCGGGTCTGGGACCATCAGGCCAGGCCTCTCCATAACTGACCATGGGGAGTAGATGGTGAACCCCGCTGCGATCCTGCCTCCTGTGAAGACAAGACTGTGGGACCTCATCCTGTTTGCCATGTTGACTGCCCAGTGCTTGGTCTCAGGACACATACCGATTTGCAGGAAATTCCTTCTGTCTGGTCCACACCCTCTCAGACGCCCTGCCCTAAAGCCAGGGCTGCTTTGGTGGTGCTTTGGGATTAGTCTTCATGTTGAATTACTGTTTGGACCCATGGTCTTCTCCACATGGCAGGCTCTTCTGCAAAAGCCAGCCAGTGATGTGGACCCCCTGGGGGCACTGGTTCAATTCAGGATGTGAGCCTCTGTGAGCACGACATGAGGCCCCTAGTCACCTTCCTGTGCAAAGTCATAAAATCTGGAGAGTTCCATTAACTTCCTTCCTTTTTTTTTTTAAAAAGGCATTTATAATGGCATTTATTTTAGTAATGACAACATTCTTAGAAAAGCATAATTTTAATAAGCTCATCTGCTCAGATACTTTAATTAGCAGCTGTCACATGCACAGATTTATGATTTGTGAATCATCATTGGTACTCTAGGAGCCTATAGAAGGGATAACATCATATAGAGAAATGTAGTTAAGTTGAAGCTTGAAAGAGATCACATGAAAGCATCTGGCTTCTGCCTTAGCTTTTCCTAATTTGACCATACATAAGCCATCTGCAGTAGCTGCCCTGAGACCTTCCTTCCTTCATTCCTCCCTCCCGATGTTTCACATTGTGGTAAAAAAAAAAATTAACGTAAAATTGACTCTCTCAGCCATTTTAAGTGTACAGTTCTATGACATTAAGCACATCCCCACTGTGCAGTCATCATCATCATCCCTCCTTGTCTTACAAAACCGAAACTGTGCACGTTAAACCCTAACACCCTCTTGTCCCCTCCCCCAGCCCCTGGCAACCACCATTCTACTTTCTGTCTCTGTGAATTTGACACCTCTAGGGACCTCATATAAGTGGAGTCACCCAGCATTTGTTCTTTTGTGACTGGCTTACTTCACATAGTGTCCTCAAGGTTCATCCATGTTGCAGCAGGTGTCAAACTTTCCTTCCTTTTGGGCTGCGTAATGTTCCATTGTATGGAGAGGCCCCATCTTGTTTGTCCATTCTTCCGTTGATGAACATGCAGGTTGCTTTCTCCTTTAGGCTGTTGGGAATAATGCGGTTGTGAACCATGGGTGTACAGTGTGTTTGAGTCCTCACTTTCACTTTTTTTTGGGTGTGTACCCAGAAGTGGAATTTCTTCTGTTAACTTTTAATGGTACTTGGCCCTGATTTCTGAGAAATATTTCTGTGTTCTCCATTTGCACAAAGCCTGGTCTCCCTGGTGGCAGGTTAATGATGGGTTGCCATCTGTCCAGAGGAAACCCAGGAGGAGGGCTGGTGCGGCCTGGCTCTGCACCAGACTCTTCCACCTGCAGATCATTTCATCTCATTTTTTTTAATTGTCCAGGGCCCAGGTCCAAGGAATAAACATTCATTACAACAACGAAAGCTGTAATAAGGCAAAGCTCTTGCTTTGATATTTGCTTTCATAATGTTATCATCTGAACAAAGGCAGCTATTTTATCCCAGGTGGCGGGGAGGGCTGTACATGGGAACCTTGACCTCCCCACGCGCCATGCGCTGTCAGGACTGAACGGAGGGGGCTGAGCGGGTGTGATGCTTGACTTGAATTCGACACTCTTCACTCCTATTCGGCTGCTTGTATACGCTGTACAAGATGTCGGAGGCTCCAGATCCTGCTGCTGAGGGCAAATCTGGGACCAATGACATCAGTTTGGGATTTAGATGTTACCTAACGAGGCCTGCCTAATAGGGGCACATGGCTTTGTACTTAACACTTAGCCTTCAGTTGTCTGCCCTTGGGGTTTCTTGGCCAGTCTGACAAGGCCAGAAAGCAAATAAAAACAGAATTTCTGACCCACTCACACAGACTCTCACCACTAGTTGTGGGTCACTATTCAGCAAACTTAAAAACAAGTTACATTCAGACACTGCACCTTGCTTTAAACAAACCACCAACCGTCAATTTCTCAAGCCCTAGTGTTGAAAGTCCAAGGAATTCTGTCCTGCCTGTGGCTGTTTCAGAAAAGGGATTTCTATTAGTAAGGAAAATCATCTTTAAGCCAGGAGGATGGGAAAGGATTATGGCTGGGATGAGGCACCCTGTTATTAGACAAGGCCTCCAGGTGCAGCGGGCAGGAAGGCGAGGCCAGCCAGCCCCCCTCTCTCCCCTGCCAGACCCGTGTTTCCTGTGGGCCTGCAGGATTGAAGTGGCTCTGTCTCCTCAGCTCCCCTGGACTTGGGAGGAAATCTCTTGGAGTGGTTGCCACCTTCATTCCAACGTGGTTTCTCTCCAGCAGCATTTTATGCTGATGTTTGGCGCCCAGCCCGCCCTGCCCTCCCCCTTGGGTCTCTGTAGGCAGGGTACTGACTCACTCTTGTGTGCCGCTCTGACTCCAGAGGCTAGACCCAGACAGACTCCTGTTCCCAAGGCAGGCCAGG